GTAATTTTATATAGTAAGTAGCTCAAATCATTCGGTATACCTGAAAAAAATACTTTATAAAAGTTTTAAAATAATTTTTCAGCTGATCCTATGAATTTCTCTAACATTTTAAATTAATTGAGATTTAATCGCAGCTGATCCTTCTTTTGTTTTGATTTTAATCCCATGTTATTTAAATGGGCCAAAATCGTACTTTGAGGGCTTGCCAAGGGTTTATGGGTCAACGCACCGACTTGTGACCCTCAAAAGGCACATCTACACGCTAAGGGCTTTCAAACAACATAAAAAACATTAAAATTGAGCCAGTGGTTTGGGCTGTAGGTCCATCAACATTTAAGGAGAAGAAGGAGAACACGGAAAATTTGTGAATTTTCAAACTAGTTTTTCTTGGCTCAAACACAACCTTTTTTTCAATTATTTTTTTTATTTTGCCAAGAATGATTGCCCCTATCCAGTGGATGAACAATTATTTTAATAGCTTTTGTTTCTTCAGAGCTATAGACGAGTAAAAAAGCCACTTTGTCACGTCATGTATATATACACTGCAGCAGCTGTGTACCGCTGGGGGACTTGGCGGGGCGGAACGCTGCCGCGTTCCTTAATAATAATCCAAACATAATATGTTAACAATTGTTAACACATCAGTTTCATTAAATTGTAAGAAGCTACTATCTCCAAACAGGCTAGTAGTAAAAATCCAAAGTTTGACGATTCGAATGGTTTCTGCTTTTTGAATTTTGTCTGGATTTTATTAGTCCAAGTTGCACTAACTATCCAAATAATAAAACTTTATATCCGGTATTTTGTATACCTTTATTTTTTATTGTAGTTATTATTTATTTTTTTCTTTCAACCAAATTATTACCAATTAACTGTCATGTCATGTTTTATAAATATCTGTTTTTTTTTTTCAATTTAGAATATTTATTTACTGATAGAGGAAACTTCTAACGCACGGGCCTATGTGAGAGGGATTTCATAATTAACGACTAGGCCTATGTCAGTATGTTATTACATAACTAAGGCATAATTATTAAATTTGTACTGACAAAGTATTGTAACATAGTATTTTACCTACTTAAATAAACATTATTTTGATTATATTTGACAAACTACCTCCATGTGAAGTTTTATTTAGATCTTTTGAGTGGTTCCCGTGCAATTAAGTAGTATACAAACACACATCCACCATCTCATATTTACATATTTAGATAATAAATTGAAAAATAAAGAAAAGATAAGTTAATTGATTATATTGGCTCTTATAAAATGATAAAAATTCAAGATAAATTGATTGATTAAGTTACCACACATAACTTGAGTCTATGCTAGCAGCTGGGAACTAGAGATGCTAAAACACCTCTTTAGGCGAATATTGGGCTCTTCCAGGTGGTACATATTACTATAACAAGAATAGGATTTGTTTATAAGCCATTAACACCGATTTGAACAAAACATTGTAAAATCCTTTATCAAACAAAGGGTCGCTTCTGGCACGATTTTGGCTGGGTCGCTTCTGGCACGGTCGCTTCCGGCACGTAATCCCTGAAAAGTAGGCGACATGCGTATTTTTATCACCACAGTTCATATTACAACTATCAGCAAAGATATTTGATATTACTTCTTTGAGACACTCACAAATTAATTCTACTTTCGGTTAAAAAACTACACGAAAAGTCCATTTTTACATATTTTATACAATAACTTGTTTATTTATAGAGATACGACCTCGGACCCAATAACCATTATTGTTGTCCACATTTTTAAAATTCCAACGACGTTTTAACCGATGTTATATCTTTTACCGTTTTCTAACTATCAGCGTTTTAACGCATAGCGCAAACCGCTATGTTTGCCCCTTCCCCCCACCTTATCGACCACTTTTGAAATAGGCGACATACGTAATTTTGATCACCACAGTCCATATTACAATAATCAGCAATAACGTTGCGTACTACTTTCATGCATGCTCAACCCCCCTCAGCTCCTGGACTATAAACTCGAACGAGTTCGTGAACCAGCAAGACCGAGTAATAAAAAATGGGTGTTATAGGGTTTAATTGTATTCAAACATTGTGTTTTTTTTTTTGAATTTTTATTCTTAAAACCATTTTCATTATAACCATCACAATTAGCTTAAAATTATTTTTGTTTATTAAAGCATTGTTTTACACTTAAAAGTTACAAAGAAAACAGTACATTTAAAGTGTTTATAGATAGTTTGCAATTCGTTTTGATGAGTAAATAGTTTTAGTTTAGTTGTTTATGTATATATTATGATAAAAAATGTATTTTCCTATAGTCACCCGATAAAGTGGGCTTCCTTGCACAGAGGACAGAAAGCCTTATTTGGCACACAGTTTATACTTTGGCGCATACCAGTATTCCAACCAACAACACAAAACAGCGTGCTTTTATCATGCACGTAATCCGTGTACGCTTGAAAATAAGTTGGTAAAACTTAAAGATATTACGACTACGATCAGCTGGTGCAGCGTTTCCCATTTCGTTCAGTGTTTGGATTTAACCAAACCTTAAAACGTGTTGTACAGTGTTTGAAAGACCAATTATTTATATGCTTTATAGTAACTCTAGGAAAAATGTACTAAATAACACGAGTGCAAACGTGCAAAAAAGTGCCACTTCACTCTCTAGTTACACAACCAGTTAGTTAGCCAATATATTTGACCAAAACCGCTTTTCCCTTCTTGTTACAGCAAACCTAAGTACTTGTTAAACCTTATGTTATTTAAATACAGAACACATCTGACATCCTTAGGCAGTTTTTTTTTACTATAAACCCATTCACACGAGTGGAAATTCGCTTAGTCTGCACTTTTTTTGTGACGAGGGTATTTCGTATTCTATTTGACAGTCGTATCAGATTAGTTGGCTAACTATTTCTTATCAATTAGTTTAACAAGTTTGATTCAACTTTCGTTAAAATCTGATAAGCCCTACTAGAGTTATCTTGCAAGTTATCGAGTTACCTCTGTGGTAGCAGGTATTGGTCTTACCATCATAACTTCGGTAACTACTTACCAGTAAGAGAGTTGTCAGTTTGGGATGGTGTTATTTTTACAATTCTACTTGGATCAGAGTGTATTCCATTAGACATATCTAAAATAAATCATAATAATATTAATTCAAATCTTTAAAAAATGATCAAACATCACTTAATGTAGTTTTAAAATGTATTTTTACCACTTTTAACGCAGTTTCTTATCTCCATATATTTATATTTTTATGCATTATAATTCATTTTCAGACAAAACTAATTATCAATACTTAAGTAAATAATAATGGGGAAAATTTACGTATAACCTTGTACATTAATGAGGAATGGGGAAAGAGATGAAGAAACGTCGGCGCCTGGCTGCAGCCATATTCCGGTCCCATCAACAAAACCAACAAATACTAACCATAACATCAACACCCTTCTGCTGACATACTCCGGTCCCCATAACACTTCATCTCTTCAAATATTCCTACACTAGCGTAGGTGATTTGAAGCCAACATATAATGAAAACGAGTGCTATAAATCTTAATTAGAATGTATAAGAGTATATATTTTACTAGTTAGGTGTTAATATTTTTATCATAAAAAAAATTTCATTTCAATTTCGACATATTTTAGTGGGAGCTTTAGAGTTTGTATACAGAAAGCTAAAAAAATATGAGGATATTACTTAAGTAAAGATTCCTTGGGTCAAAATAAGCAAAGTAATAAATATAAACATATATCCTATCTCGTTTCGTTTAGCACCTGTCTGTCCGTATGTGTGTTTTTATTTTTACAAAACATCCATATCACCCTGTATAGGTATATTTTAAATATAAAAAAGTCCACAAATTTACAAACTAATTATCTCATTATTATTATTATTTTACGATTGATGTTTTCTTGAGATAGCATAGAGGTCTGTAATAACTATCACATCTTAGATACCAAAGCATAAGTAATATTGGTTTCGTCTCTAAATCAAATCATTAAGTTTTATGAAATCTATCACAGTTTAACGGAGAGCGAGGACACACAAGACCAAGGAGGAACAGTGTAGGACCATTACCATAACTTAATTTGTTTACCGCGTGTCTTTGCACCATAAAGGATTTTGGACCTTAATTTGGGATGCCTTAGGGCACATAATTATAGTCTCACTTTAATCGAATCACTATGAACGTAAGAAGCGAATGATATCCACTGATCATCACCTCTACAACAATATGCCACAGCTGCCACTTCGACGAAGCGTCGCATCGTCATCATACCACGTCAGGAACTGACACAGAAATCAATCTCCCCACGGCCACGAACCCACGACTCCCATCATTCTACCATTCCTGCAAATTCGCAAGTCTACCGAAGGATGTTGACGATATAAGGGGCAAACCAAAAGGACATGCTTCATCAATAGCCGGGGTATTGTAAATCTTTCCATCGTAACCATGACACCCGATCCAGAAACAGTTCACTTTGGACTCAGACCCACGCCCAATTTAAATAACGCTATACGTTTTGGAGCACGCAAATCAGTGGTTTGCTCAAAGCATACAAAAAAAAATAGCAGAAATTTACTAGTTTATAAAAATATACAAGTGATCCACAAAGTCAAGTGTCCATGTGAATAACATTGGAAATTACTTACTATGTTTAGCACTTTGAATATCTCTGCATCTATTAAACAATAATATAATACTCTGAATTATTTTTCTATCTAAGATCCATTTTAAAATTCAAGGTGAAATTGTAAACCTATTATGGTTTACAATATTTCATCCTCTAAAAACATTTCCAAGTGTTCCTCAAAGCAGCAAGCCTAAGTACTCATTGAGCAACTTATTCATACTGTATTTGGGTTGAGTCTAAGAATAAATTTATCTTTAACACGGACTTATTTGAATATAAATTAAATAGGTCGAAATAAATTTAGGCGGGTTTTAATGTTTTCTGTGATGGTTGGTATTGTATTTGTTCCTAATGTATATACTTTTGCAGATGTCCTAATATGGGCGGAAGTGGAGGGCTGATAGCGGCCGCCGTGTGTCTGGGGTGGTGTCTACTCATCTCCGCCTCCTCGCCTACTGCTGACATGTGAGTACCCTTACAACTCCAAAGAGTATTAAGTTATTTTAATACGGCCATTTTACCAGGTTTGTATTTGGATAATCAATGATGTTTATCAAGGATATTTATCTGAATTTATTGACAGGAATATTTAATTCTTCAAAAAAAAAAGTGTTCTGTGGACACATACACACGCACAGCAAGGACCGCCTGACAATTAAAACGCATTACAATGAGCCGCAGAAACACAAAACCTAAGTAAACTTGACTTCTAGGTTCTAGCAGTTTCGGGTACAGCTTTCAACAGTTTTCGTTGAGTTTAAATATTATTGATAATCTTAAATGAAAGTTTTATTATGTTATACTTGTGTTTGATATTACCTTTCGGAGCTCATAGGGCACAAACAAGTGATTTGAGTGCTTTCGACCCACTTATTTGGCAAATAGTTTAATATTTTTTGTTAATATTCTTATTTTATCCTTTTGGCAAAGTAAAGATTATATCATGTCACGACGAAAAATGAAATATAAAACACGGAAAATACAAAACACAGACAGAAATATTTAAGAGCGTACACAAAAAAAAACTCAAAAAGTGGTCATAAACTTCAAAATCAGAGTGAGTCAAAATTTAAACTATTTTATACAGGACAAGACAATGAAAAACTCCACAATAATTCATATAAACAGATTTTTGTCATGTTTTATAATGTTAGGTCTAATAATTGTGGTGCCAACATTTTATTTATATCGATAAATATAATACAAGTTTAAGACTGTGTATTTATTTTATATTTGTTGTGCAACGTGAGATTTGATATAAGAGTGTTTTAAGATGCTAACTACTTGACATGGATAGTCTATTGGATGGACTGGCGGAGAATGAAATTTAAAAGAATGCAATCGTAATCGATCTTCCACTACTTCTTGTTCTACTTCTTGAACTTAAATCTCGTCTTACGTTTGTGCTAGATCTATTTGTTTGTGATTTATTGTCGTAGTAATTTCCATCATGATTCAAAGCATCGATTCCTTAATTTAGCTTACAGATATGTAATCGCATATGGTATACATACACATGTGTTTATGTACAGGGTGTCCTAGTAGTTTACGCAACGATTGCGTAAAGTTATTGTTAACGACACGAGTAGAAAATTTAAGGTACGAGCCTTGGCGAGTGCCTTAAAAACTTCTACTATTTACGCGAGTTGCGTACACTACTTTACCTACGACAGTGTTTTAATTACTAAAAATTACTACCCATAACTTATAAGAAAGGTTATGTTTTCGTTTATAAACTCTCATTGCCAATGACAGTGATGTATCGAAATATTGTATCAAACACTAATTGCACCAATCAAAAATTAAATTGGCCTGAACAGCTGATTAAGTGAATTTCGAATCATTGCAATTTTGCTTCTCTTCTCTCAATCCTTGAACCTCATTGGTCCGTTACCCGTGTTGTTATGAGTAAAACTATGCTGTTATGAGATACTTTTCAATTCTAAGAACTGTACTGAAACGGCTACTTTAAAAAATGGTCGTAGTTAAAAATAATAACAAAATCATGCAAAAAGTTTGCTAGCATGATTAAAAAAGTCTATAACCACTTTTGTGCGTCAGCTTGAATGGAGGTTTATGATTTAGACTCATTTCATTTATGATTCATCACTATCCTATCTCTTCAATAACTTTAATTTTGTTCTCTTGTAACATTGCAACAAATTAGCAATGAATTAGAAAAGGGTTTGCAAATTAAAATACTTGACAAAATTGCACCATTATTTTGATGTTCCACCATTTTGTTCCGAATGGTTGGAACCAAGAAGAAATCGAGGGTGTATTTTTACATATGTGTTTGACGTATAGTAGTTGAGGAGTTTCAAGTAGGAGAATGTTCAACACGTCTCAAAAATAGCAATTGAATCCAATAATAGCGACCTTTTTGTGAGCCACCCTGTAATTAAATTATTATCTGTATAAACTATTTTAAAATTATTTATTCAATTGAGTATAATCGATAGTATCTTTAGAAAATTCCTTATCCCTACCTTGTGTTCATTACTCATTTTATATTTTCTAGGCCCTATCTTCTTAAGATTTGTTACTTTTCCTCGTGGTTTAACTACATTACTAGAATATCACATGAAATTAAACAATTCGACATCGTGGTTATACATTATTACCAATTACAACAAAACATGTGACTAAATTTATACTTATCCGATACTTTAATTAACCATCCGTTCCATAATGTTTCATGAGTTTTCGTTCAATATTAGACTGATCAAGCCACGTGTAAATCCCTTTGATCTAGTTTATGATCGAACTAATCAGTGTGATGATATTACTGAGTAGATGATTGGTCACCTGTAATTAAAAGGGATTTACTCCGTGACACAGTAGTGCACTCTCGAGGCCATGTGTGGTCAAATTGATTCTGGGTATCAGAGTCAATAATGGAGGCTTTCAACACTGCTATTTTATATGGTCCTAGTGACAAAATGCAGTTCAAAGGTTTATGTAATGGGTTTTCAATACGAAAAGTGGAGGAACTTAAAATACAAATTTTTATTTTGCACACTATATGTGCTCGTATATGTAACAGTCAGATGAATTACCCATGAGACATTTTGGTGTTTTTTTCCACTCTGATTCGTTAAATCATCGTATATTTAATGTTGGTAATTGATACGACAGTTGGTCAAATCACAGATAAGGGAATAAGTTATCAGAATACGTTTCCCCTTACAGTTTATATATCGAAAGCTCAGTCAATCAAATTACAAAGTAAACATACGGTAGATGAATAACCATAATGCAGATTATATTACGATTAGTAAAAATAAAATTATTAAGATCTAGGCCTAGTGTAGTTACAGAATTTTGAATTCCATCCTCAGGTGAGCAATTTACTCAAACATAAAAAAATTAGTACACGAACCCAGCTAAAGCCGGAAAATAACTAAACATAAACCACACAACGAACCCACGACGAATTCCTGCAATAAATCTTAAAATTATGAATACATACCATTGCCAATAAAGCAAACATAAAAAGTTGGAACTTACAATACTTATAACTATTGTTAAAAAAATTACAAAAATGCAAACTTATACTCTAGTGCATAAAGTATTGTACTTATTACAAGTATTACAAGTACATCTGTATAACAAGTATGCTACTAATAGCGATACGTTTTTTCTACAAATTGATCGCAAAATTAGTTAAAAACTATACATTCTTGCTGTTTTATACTTGTAAAGTTACTACAAAATAAATAGAGTTATATTTCAACTTGTTGAATGTATTTCACTAATATTACTTTACATAGCTGGTTTACCGTTGATATCGTAATGCCTTATGACGCACTCAACCTAAACAAAACACAGAGTAATACGAGATTTGTAAGTGTCGTGTGGTGGTGGTGGTGGCACAGAGGTTAATACTGCAATGTCACAACAGTCGGGGCTATCGTGCATATCAACAGCGCGCCATGCAAGCCTGCATAAACAGATTCAATTACATTTTCACTGAGACTCAGCCATGCTAGGTTCAATCCTGTATCGGATTACATTTTACCATTACGGTTTTAATGCATTTAACTGATTGTGTGCAGTGTATCGTAAACTTTGGTGATAGCAGCCAAGGTTAATCTTTAGGTAAAGTGACGTAATAATTGTTTATTTCCCACGATAAAGTTAAGAAGTATTATTTTCTACTAGTCCAAATTTAGACACTAAAGTCAAGGTTACAGTATAATTTATTCTTAATTCATATGGAAGATGTCAAAGATCATACATAATGTATGGTTAGCAACAGAAAAATCATTATTCGCAAACAATCAAACAATTAAGTAAAGCTGATGATATAAAAACAAAAAATAAATCACATATGGTTCTTTTAGTGAATAAAGTATTTAAATAAATTCAAGAAATAAAATTGCATTTTACCTTCATATAGCCACTCAAAAAAAGTCCAGTGGACTTAAGTTCCGGCAACCTTGCAGGCCAACGAACCACACCATTATGACCAAATGACCTACAAGTTTTGTATTTAGCATTGAGCCAATTTCGCACATCCTTTGAGTGTACTATAGTACTAGGTGGCGATCGCAGAGGCATTCAGAAAATTGAGCGGAGTCATCAAGGGTTCATATTATATTGTTTTGTCATACTGCAGTAAAAACAGTCGTTTTTAATGCATGCGTTGCAGGTCTAAAGTAGCATTGTTACTCTTTAGGGAGAAAAAATCGTTTTTAGCCTCTACGGAGTAAAACTATGCTGTTGTCAACTCAGTTGTAAATTTCGATTGCAAACGATTGCATGTATCGAAAATATGTATCGATTTGTGCTTCGTAATCATTTTAACCTACAGTCTACAGTCTGTTCCCATAGCATTTTAGAATTGCAGATACATTAATGTAATTGCCAAAGATAGTTCCCACACTCTGCACTGCTAGCCTTACTACTTGCTTCACCGTTTCCTACGTCATAAACCTGTTTCCTTCCCTTCTCATAGCATTTAAGTATTACAGATACATTTATCTAACTGCCCAAACGGTTCCCCCACTCTGCACTGCCAGCATTTAATACTTCCTTCGCCACTTCCTCCGTTGTGGGGCCTGTTTCCTCCCCTTCTCATAGCATTTTAGGATTGAAGATACATTAATCTAACTGCCACAGACGATTCTCACACTATGCTCATACTTTACTACTTCCTAAGCCACTTAATACGTCGTGGACCTGTTTTAATCACTTTCCATATCATTTTAGTATTTTAGATACGTTAATCTAATAGCCACAAACATTCCCCACACTTCGCACTGCTAGCCTTTACTACTTCTTTCACCATTTCCTATGTCGTGGGCATGCTTCCATCCCTTCTCATAGCATTTCAGCATTGCAAATACTTTAATCTAACTGATACAAACGGTTTCCAGTTCCCACACTCCACACTGCTCACCTTACTACTTCCTTCACCTCTTCCTACGTCGCGGACCTGTTTCCCTCTCTTCCCATAGCAT